ATGGCAGACACCTTTAGTCCCAGCTGTTTGGGAGACTGAGGAAGGAGATCACTTGAGCCCTGGAGTTGGAGGTTGCAGTGTGCTAGAATTACACCACTGCACTCCAGCCTGGGTGACAGAACAAGACCCCAATTCAAAAACAAACAAAAAACTGCACTTGTACTCCCTAAATAAATATTTTATTTTATTTGAGTTGTGGGGTACAAGTAAGGATTTGCGACATAAGTAGGCTGCATGCAGGTGAAGATTTCTAGGTAGCCCCCTCTCCCCTTGGTAGTGGACCAGAGTACCCATTGTGTTGCCACATGACCCCTTCCCTCCTTCCTCCCTGCCTTCCTCCTTCCCCTAGCAGTGCCCAGCATCTGCCAAGCCCATCCTTGTACTAGTGTGACTAGAGTTCAGGGCCCGTAGTTGTGGTCTACAAATTTTGTAAGTATATGGTGTCCATTTGAAAGTTTGCTTATCGCTTGGCTGTTGCAGTCAGGTAATTTTCTGCTTTCGCAGAACCAGTAATAATCAGGCTGCAATCCTGGAGTTCTCATGTCCAAGGCAAAAGAAAAAAAGTTTTTGTCTCAGTTTTCAAAGAGAGGCCAGTTCACCTTTTGCATTTGTTTTCGCTGTGCCCCAGCCAACTGATTGGTGTACTCTGAGGTCATATCTTCCCTACTGAGCCCACTCAGACTCCCACACAGACCTACTCTGGAATCACCCTCACAGATACTCCCAAAATTATGCTTTACCAGGTTTTCTAGGTATTCCTGAATCCAGTCAAATTGACACTTAAATCCATAAATCCACCCCTTGTCAACTCGGCATTCATATGTATCTCCTTAAACCATACTTAAATTCCAGATAAAGACAATAACAAGGTAATTGTCTCACCTAATATGAGGTACCTAACATGACACAACTATCCTGCATACAACTGAAACACACTAATCCTTTCCCTAGAAGTTAACTTTCAGGATTTCAACATTTGGGATAATGATTTTGGAAATTTTAGTCATTAGGGATTTTAAACTTTAGGGAATTTGTTCCTTTTTTTTTTTTTTTGAGTTGGAGTCTCACTCGGTCGCCCAGACTGGAGTGCAGTGGCCGCTTCCGGCCACCGCAGCCTTGCCTGCTAGGCTCCAGCCATCCTTCCACCTCAGCCTTCTGAGTAGCAGGAATTACAGGCATGCGCTACCACGCCCGGCTGATTTTTTTTTTTATTTATTGTAGAGATGAGGTCTCGCTGCCCAGGCAGGTCTCAAACCTGCGGGCTCAGGCAATCCACTCACCTCAGCCTCCCAAAGGCAAGGGATTACAGGCCAAGCCACCAAGCCCAGCTGGGAATTTGTTCTTAAATATTGAATTAGATTTCATCATTTGAGAGTATTGCACTTGGGATTTGGAATTGTCTTTTGGAATTAAGATCAGCACCACTTTGTTTTATCCTTACTTTTCCTATGCTATTTATAAGAATTCAAAACTTTATGCAGATATGTTGCCTAAACTGATTCATTAAAAATGACACTTAAAAAGCTACACATGCTGCTTTTCAAAGTAGATTTTTCTTTGTTTTGACTAAGACAGTTTAGTTAGAATTCTTGCAAGAAAACCTTTATGTTACGTAAGAATGTGAATTTGAGTCATAATTTGAAAGAAAGCATTACTAGGTCTACATTAATGCCACCATCATAAAATAATATTTTAATAGTATGCTGAAGTTATTGTAAGAAAAAAATTTGGAGAAAACTGAGAGATGTTAAAGATACTCAGTCCTTTCCAATTGTGCCTTTATTGTTCTCATATTCCATTCAGTTTAGTTTTGTGGAGAGGGAGGCACAGGTACTTGTTTTTTGTCTTCTTCTACAAGAAGAATTTTAGATTGTACTTATCAAGTTATATAATAATGACTCTAAAATTTACACATATGTCCAGACCTTTTAGCTGCTCTTCAATGTAAAGGAAAACCAGGATAAGCAAAAATGTTTGTTTTGCATCTATTCTTCCACAAGAATATGCCTTTTTCTTCTTCTTTTTTTTTTTTTGAGTTGGAGTCTCACTCTGTCGCCCAGACGAGTGCAGTGGCCGCTCCCAGCCACTGCAGCCTCGACCTGCTGGGCTCCGGCGATCCTTCCACCTCAGCCTTCCGAGTAGCTGGAATTACAGGCATGCGCTACCACGCCCGGCTGATTTTTTGATTTATTGTAGAGATGAGGTCTCGCCGAGTTGCCCAGACGGGTCTCTCGAACCCGCGGGCTCAGGCAATCCACTCACCTCAGCCTCCCAAAGGCACGGGATTACAGGCTGAGCCACCGAGTCTGGCTTTTTTTTTTTTTTTTTTAGAGGCAAGGTATTGCTCTGTTGTCCAGGCTGGAGTGTGGTGGTTTCGTCGTAGCTCACTGCAATCTCAATGTCCTGGGCTCAAGCGATTCTCCTGCCTCAGCTTCCTGAGTAACTGAGACTATAGGTATACACCACCATGCCTGGCTAATTTTTTCAACATTTTTTGTAGAGATGAGGTTTCACTATGTTGTCCAGGCTGGTGTTAAACGCCTGGCCTCAAACAGTCTTCCAGCCTGGGTCTTCAAAGTGCTGAGGTTATAGATGTGAGTCACCACACCTAGCCTTACCTTTTTATTTTTAAATTAAATAAGGCATTTATTTAGTATTTGCCTACTTCTAGGAACAGTTAAATCCTACTTATTAACTTAATACTTAGTACAAAATTCTAGACAAAATGGACAACAGAAGAAGAGAAGGGCTAAAATTAGAACATCTTGGTTGTGGAAGATAATCTAATAAATATAATTAAGTTTGTTATTACAGGAGTTTGAAACTAGTACCTGTAGTAAAATATGGTAAATTATAATTAGGCTAATGTTCCAGAATTAGTTTTTATAAATTGATTATACTTTATTACCTGACCATTTCAATGATGTTAGTAAATGTCTTTTAGAAGACTGCCTAAAGTGGTTTTAAAATGTACATATCAAGTCATTTATTTTTTACTAATTTCTGTCTTGGATTTGGCTTCACCAACCCAAGATACTTAAGGTCTAGAACTCTGTATTACCCACTTAGGGATACTCTATTTCCTAGCCCAAATACTTTGAAATTACTTTTCATTGTAATAAATATGGCACGTCTGTGTATCTAAATTGGCTTGATCACACAGTTGTCATCTTCTGTGCTAAGATCTTCATGCATTAAGCCGTACAAATTGAAACATACCCAAAATAAAGAAATAAAACAGAAACCTATGAGGACTATATTGATCAAGTGTATTAGACATTATAATCATTGAAAAAAATTATAGAAAATCATAATAAAAAAATAAGTCTATAATAATATACTTTTTAAAAAATTTTACAATTTTTTAAAAATTAGAGACAAGCCGGGCTCCATGGCTCAGCCTGTAATCCCGCGCTTTGGGAGACAGGTGAATGGATTGCCTGAGTCCACGGGTTTGAGACCTGCGTGGGCAACTTGGCGAGACCTCATCTCTACAATAAATCAAAAAATTAGCCTGGCATGGTAGCGCGCGCCTGTAGTTCCAGCTACTTGGAAGGCTGAGGCGGATGGATCGCCAGAGCCCAGCCTGTCAAGACTGCAGTGGCCAGGAGAGTGCCACTGCACTCCAGTCTGCAACAGAGTGAGACTCCAACTCAAAAAATAAATAAAATAGAATAAAATAAAATAAAATTAGAGACACGATCTTGCTTGTCTTTTTGGCTAGTCACTCACATTAGGAAAGTCTACTATAAGAAACAAAATAAAGATCGGATGTTATTTTCAGTAACCTTTTTGGTATTCTCAGCAATGTTGGTAATTATTAATTAGCTGATAATTATGTGGTAAATGTTCTATAAAAATTAGTTAAATCAGATTATGTGTATAGAGAAAGCCAGATTGGCATTAAAATTGCCTTTGGTTGTCCCTTTAAGAACTATTGGAGCCAGGCTCGGTGGCTCAGCCTGTAATCCCGCGCTTTGGGAGGCTGAGGTGAGTGGATTGCCCGAGCCCGCGGGTTCGAGACCCCACCTGGGCAGCGAGACCTCATCTCTACAATAAATCAAAAAATCAGCCGGGCGTGGTAGTGCATGCCTGTAATTCCGGCTACTCGGAAGGCTGAGGCGGAAGGATCGCTGGAGCCCAGCAGGTCGAGGCTGCGGTGGCCGAAAGCGGCCACTGCACTCCAGTCTGGGCGATAGAGTGAGACTCCAACTCAAAAAAAAAAAAAAAAAAAAGAACTATTGGGCATTTCTTATTCTAACTATTGCATGTGTTGATATTTTGAATAGTGTGGGAAGTTGTTTTCTTTTGCCCACTAATAGCCTTACTTTTCAAAAACAGATTGATTAAGTCATAATTTATATGCTATGAGATTCACTCATTTTAAATTGACAAGTCAATGATTTTTTTTTTGGAGGGGGAGTAACTTTACAGAGTTGTGCAACCATTACCACAATCTAATTTTAGACCATATCTATAATCCTAAAATGAAATCATATACCCATTTGTAGTCACTCTCTACATCATAAGTTTACCATGCCTGATGATGTATGTAGCTTTCTATAACTGACTGTAAAATATGATTAAAATGCATACTATAAAATTTCCACAATTATTCAGTCTTCTAGACTTGTTTTGAAGGCTTGATAATTTAGAGTATGGACATTTTCTTTGATGATATTTCTTTGGACTTGAAAATTATTTAATGGGAGAAAGGGTGCTAAGAATAATTTGAGTAAGAGGGAATTGCTTTTGGGAAATGAATATTAAAATTTGCTCTTGGTTTGGTGATTGAAAATTAACTAATGAACAGAACATTTCTCTTGGTTTGGTGATTGAAAATTAACTAATGAACAGAACATTTACTGAATAAATGTAAAATTACAAATGTATTCAAGATTTGAATTCAAAGAATTTTATAAAACAAGATTTTATATAATAATGTTTTACAGAAATTATTATAAGATTAATTTGTCATTTAAAAATTTCCTTTATTTTAGCTTCCCAGAATCAAGAACGGCTATGTGCATTTAAGGATCCATATCAGCAAGACCTTGGGATAGGTGAGAGTCGAATCTCTCATGAAAATGGGACAATATTATGCTCAAAAGGTAGCACCTGCTATGGCCTTTGGGAGAAATCAAAAGGGGACATAAATCTTGTAAAACAAGGCAAGTAATTCTTTTCTTACCTAAAATGACTTTGTGTTTTATACAATTGAAGTTTATCTAAAAGGGACATGAAGGTAGATTAAAAGCCTCTCCAGAAAAACAGTGAATTTAAAAGTATATATTCCTGTCTCTATGTAGCCGTAAGCCCTGAATTTATAAGAGGTACTTTATTTTTAGCTTATTTTAATGGGCTCCTTCTTACTATAATGCTATTCATGCTGATTGTGTGGAGTTTGGAAAATACAGAAAATCATAATGAAAAATAAAAGTCTATATAATAATATACTTTTTTACAAACTTTTGCAATTATTTTTTAAATTAGAGACAAGATCTTGCTCTGTTGCTCAGGCTGGAGTGCAGTGGTGTGATCATAGCTCACTATAACTTTGAAGTCCTGGGCTCAAGGAATTCTCCCACTTTAGCCTTTGGAGTATCTGGAACTACTGGTGCATACCACTATGCCTGGCTAATTTTTTTTTTTTTTTTTTTTTTTTTGAGTTGGAGTCTCACTCTGTCACCCAGACTGGAGTGCAGTGGCCGCTCCCGGCCACTGCAGCCTCCACCTGCTGGGCTCTGGCGATCCTTCTGCCTCAGCCTTCCAAGTAACTGGAACTACAGGCGCACGTTACCACACCCAGCTAATTTTTTATTTATTGTAGACATGAAGTCTTGCCAGGTTGCCCAGGCGGGTCTCGAGCCCACGGGCTCAGGCAATCCACTCACCTCAGCCTCCCAAGGCACAGGATTACAGGCTGAGCCACCGAGCCCAGCTTGCCTGGCTAATTTTTAAATTTTTTTTTAGAAACAGATTCTTGCTATGTTCCCAGGCTTGTTTCAAACTCCTAGCCTTGAGTGATCTTCCTGTCTCTACCTACAAAGTGCTGGGATTACAGATATAAGCTCAGTGTCCTGCCTACTATACTATGCTTTTTTTTTTGAGTCAGAGTTTCACTCTGTTGCCCAGGCTGCAGTGCAGTGGCACACTCACGGCCACCTCAGTGTTGACCTGCTGGGGTCAGACAATCATTCCACCTCAGCCTTCCAAGAAGCCGGAACTACAGGCGCATACTATCACGCCTGGCTAATTTTTTTGATATATTGTAGAGATAAGGTCTCACCAAGTTGCCAGGCTGCTCTCAAACCCCTGGGCTCAGGCAGTCCTCTCGCATGGGCCTACCAAAGTGCTGGGATTACAGATTTGAGCCACTGTGCCTGGCCTAAACTGAGCTCTTAAGAAAATTTTTACTGTTAGTTTATCTCCTTCAGATGTGGTTTTGTTTTGTTTGTTTTTTGTTTTCTTGTGTCGGAATCTCACTCTGTCACCCAGGCTGGAGTGCAGTGGCATGCTCACGGGCACTGCAGCCGCAACTTGCTGGGCTCAGGCCATCCTTCCTCCTCAGCCTTCCAGGTAGCTGGAACTGTAGACGCACGCCACCATGCCCAGCTTCCTTCCTTCAGATGTGTTTTCTGCATGCTTATATGTTTATATGTGCGTGTACATGTTTTTCAAAATTTGGATAATACTGTATAAAAAATTTCATGAGCCAGGCTCGGCGGCTCAGCC